TTTCCCAGCACCACTTGCTGAACAAATTTTCTTTGTTCCATTGTATCTTCTTTGCTCCTTTGTCAAAAATTAGGTGTCCATAAACTCGTGGGTTTGCAGGCTCCATTTTTAAAGCGGATTTAAATGTTCAACTATGTGGCTTTCACCTTTAGTTATGCTGTACTGTCTCTAACGCTCTTTTACTTCCTTCCCCTCCTTTTCACCGCTGTTTTCCTGTAAGGAGCCCCTTTGACAACCATCACTGTCACCCACATACCCTCTCCACTCACTTTCACCCAAACACCAACTGTGCATGACACCTGTGTCTCCAGAATATGCTGAGTGGGCTCCGTGTATCTGTACTTGTCACCTGGTGTTGCACTTATCTGTTCCTGTCATTATCCGTCTTGCCCACTAACCTTTAGCCTTTCTGATAGCTGAGGTGGAGTCTTATTCACTTTTATTACTTCTGTGCAAAATTCAAGGCCTAACAAATATTAGGTACTTAATGAATGTTTGCTGGATAAAATAGGGATTCATTTAGGGAATGAATACCTGTGGTACCATTGTAAGGAAATTGGGCGAAATAGCACCCTGGCTTTGGCATTGTTAGGAGGATCAAAAGGCAGACTGACGTAGCACAGCTGGTATCATGCCAGGCAGAGAGACACGTGATAAGGAGGAGGTTTTGGCATCGTGCTGATAACAACAATGAGAGCTGCTTATTTCTGCTTTTGCAGATTCCCCTAGCCCAGGCCTTGGACCTTGTGGATGGATTCTGGTGATTGTGTCATTCCTGTTCACAGTTATAACATTCCCATTATCAGTATGGATGTGCATCAAGGTAAAGAATGTTTCATTTGCATCCAAAACAGGTCAACTCCTAACCGCATAAACTCACTGTATATGTTAGAGAGACCCAGGGCTTAAAATTGCTTGTCTTGCAGCTCGTTTTTGGAAAGTTCACCCTTATTACCTAATACTATAGGAACTAAAACTTCTTTCCACCATTGTCGGGTTCCTCCTTCCTGAGGGTTAAGGTGAAGATGATCATCTAAATTCTCTGGGGCCAGGGGCGTTGGGTGGGCCTATGAGAACAATTCTCCAGACCCAGGCTGCAGAACCTGGCCTGCCAGCTCACAGTCACTGTGGCGTTCGCAGGTGTCTTCACCTGTCAGGTGGGAGGACATGACGCACCCACTTCACGGGGCCGAGGGGCTCAGTGAACGAATGTGTTTGAATTTACTTAGGGCAAAGCAGGGTGCGTGTGAGGTGCCCCCAGTGCTGGCTGACTTTTTCTATGATATCGCCAGTACTTTGAGAAATGATGATCATTTATATGTCGCCACAGGGCAAAATAAGCTCCAAGAATTTTCAGATCGGTTTATTATTATAAATTAAGGAATCAGGAGACCAGCTATAAGGACTATAGCTTTTTGTTTCAATGCATGAGTAATTGAATACTGATATTAATAGCTGGAGAGTGAGGTTATGGGTTTGTTTCCATTTATTATATGCTTCCAATTTATATATAATAAATACCTATGTTATAATCAGCAAAAAAATTGTGAACTTACTTGGCATGTTAAACACTGGATATATTATTTCTAAGATACTATCTGGGTTATAGAGAAAAGAACAAAATAGTGTTATCTTACCTGTTTTGAACAGAAATACATGTTTAAAAAATTACACATGCAAATATTTACACTACTCACATTAAATTACTCTTTGTGTTTTGAATCTAGATCATAAAAGAATATGAAAGAGCCATCATCTTTAGACTGGGTCGCATTTTGCAAGGAGGAGCCAAAGGACCAGGTTAGTACTACATTCTGGATTTGCCTGGAACCTGAAATGTGTCCTTTTATTGACAGATGTCTTCTCTGCTGACTTTGGAAAGACTTCCTGTAGCAGAAGGCCCGTAACAGTAACAGTGGTGCTGGCCAACCTTGCCAGAGTCCTGCCCATCACTCCCCTCCCCTTCCCATTTGCCCCATAAGGTTATTTTATGCCAGAAATAGCGACAGCAGTGTGGTGTGAGCATGAACGTCCCACAGACATAAAGGTTTTCACTCGTTACTTTATGTTTTGATAAACTACAATTACCCTGCAATTGTGTTCTAGGCTCTAGGAGTTCAAGGGCAATTAAGCCCCAGCCCCTGCCCTCAGGGATCTCCCCTTGGAGCAGTGGGACCCCAACAAGGAAACGCAGCACAGGCCCATTAGGGTCAAGCCATCACAGAGAGCTGTGGGACCAGAGAAAAGGGCCAGCCCCTACCCAGTATGATGAGATGAGGCTTTCTGGAGTGAGTCTTGAGGCTTGCTAGCCAGGTTTGGGGAGCAGAAATAACACCACATACTAAGCAAGGGGAGCAGGCTTCTGCAGGCTCCGGGAATTACAGGCCGCTCTGCCAGCCAGGGTGTGGGCAGTCACCAAAGAGGTAGCCAGGACAGGATGGTTTGTTCAAGGGGTGTATTTCAGGAAAGTGGGCCCTCTTGCAGCCTAGACAATGGATTATAGGAAAGAAACTAGAAGCAGTAGAAACCTGACTTGGGAAATGGTTACACTGGCTTAAGTAGGGAAAAAGAGTGCACAGTGACAATGGAACACAGACGTGAAGCCAGTGAAGATCATATTCCCTGCTTCCAGCTCATTCACTGAGCTGAAGCTGTGACTTCCAGTCCATCAGGGTAATTCTATTTGAACTGAAGGGTGGTCAACCCATTAGGTGCTGGTGTTGCGCCTCAGCCTCAGTGTGTCTTCCTTGCAGGTTTGTTTTTTATCCTGCCATGCACAGACAACTTCATCAAAGTGGACATGAGAACGATCTCATTCGATATCCCCCCCCAGGAGGTAGGTGTCTTCTGCACAACTGCGGTGTCATGCATGAAGTCCATGGTGATGGCAGGCTGCTTAGCACAGCATCAGAGAGCAGTTTAGACGGTCTGTCCTCGCCCTCTGGTAGCTGTGCGACTTGGAGCAAGCTCTTCAACGTCTCTAGGCATCAGTTTCCTCATCTGTAAAATCGAGGTGATAATGGTAGGACCCACTTTACAAGGTCCTTGTGCAAACAAAATGAGACATATAAGGTACTTAGCACAGTGGCTGATAAAATAAGTGCTGTAGAAGTGCCTGCTGTTGTTACTAGCATTATAAAATGTAGTATAATGGTAGCATTAAGGGCGTCGTAATCTCCACTATTGCATTTTTCCTTTATGTGTTTCTGATAGAAAATTCCATTTAGCACAATATCTTTCTTCTTAAGATTCTTGATTTTATTCTAGATAAATGGTTAGAAGCCAAGTAAAGAAAGTTCTTGTTTGACACTCTAGGTGAAGCAGATAATGTTTTATATTAGTAATTTCTTCCTGCCTTTTCAAGCTACTTCACAGATACTATCACAGTTGAGACAGCAGAACCCCTGAAATGTTGCAGGACAAAGCAATTCCTCTTGACTACATTGGCAGAGCCGAGACTAATATCCAGTTTTTCAGAATCCTGCCTATTGTTTCTTCCGCAGCCCCATGCTAAATTCACTCTGAGTTAGTGACGTCGCAGCCCTGCAGGAATTGCTGGCCCCCCAATACTCCTACAGAGGCATCACAACCCCTGCAGACAGACAGCACAAAGCCTTGATGGAGGGGGGGGACGGCGGAGCCTGTCAGTGCTTGCTGGCCAAAGACCAGGTCCCCGGCAGGATGTCTGGAGCCTGGTCACTCCGCCTTCTCTTGTCACAAGATCCAGAAGTCAGCTTAGGAACTTCCTCACTGGCACCCACCCAAGTAGTTCTTGGATGAAACTTTCTAATCCCCACATCCGTAGTGGCATCAGAATCAGTTTCCCCACACAGACAAGCGGGGGTGCGTCCCCGTGTTCTCTGAGTGTCTTCCCGCTCCCCAGGAAGGATCCCCTCTGGGGTAGCTGAGAATGCTTCTGGTGTTTTCCTCTCTGCAGCATTACAAGCATCTGGCAGGGTCGCTGGAAACTTCTGCCTTCCAGCTGCTCTCTCTCCTCTGCAAGCAGCTGAACACAGAGCAGACTGGAAGTTGGCAAGCAGTCCTCTTTCCGACCCCTGTGAACTGACTATGTAGGGAGATAAACGTGCCATAAGCAGCAGGCAGAGAGGCTGCCGCTTTCGTAAACTCCGGCTTAGTGCAATCACTGTGGCAAGAATTTGTTAAGAAATGATACACATTTTCCCATCACATCATGGGGATATTTAATTCTTGCACAAGACGGTAATACACTGTACATTTCTTTCCAAATCCCCCACCTCTCTTCCAAGCAGGAAGTATTTTTAGATTACTAAAAAAAGGACGATGGCTTTGTGCCTGGTGGGACTCACAGCTGGATGGTATTCCTGTTATTACTTTGCATTTACGGTGCTCGTCACAGTTTCAAAGGGGCTTCATGCACAAATGTCTTATTTGACCTTCCGAGAAATTTGTGTAGAATCGGGCAGTTCTTGGCTCCATCTCACAAGCAAGGTAGCTCTAGTCACACGGAGGAGGAGCCTTGCAGGAGATCACAGCAGGAAGGACAGGCAAAGCTGGGGCTGAATCAGGCCTCGCCCTCGCGCCTGGCTCTTTGTCCATCGCTGAACTGCTGGCACCGCGTGTTATTTCAACTCGTCTCTCCTTTATTCGCTATCTGCCAGGGCTAGAGATGCAAAGACAGACTTCCCCCACAGTTCTTCATCTCAGGAAGCAGGAATGATGTAAACAGCATCACTACAGCAAGGTGTCAGGGAGTAGGGATGTTTCACAGAGAAAGGACACTTGATCTCTGTCTTGAATGATGAGTAAGAATATGCCAGTAAGATGCAGAAGTGGCAGAGGAGACGAAGGAGAGGATATCCAAGCACAGGGGACACTTGGGTAAAGGCCTGGAGACGTGGAACATGGTCCCTGCAAGACCTGTGGGCCGTCTGCTTTAGAATGCGCGTGCAGGACGGAGAGGGGAGGACAGGCCACAGGATACGCGTCCCAGGGCGGAGGCAAGCTGAGGCCTTTGCACGTAGGCGGTGGGAAGCACTGATGCATTCTGCCTAGCCCAGCATTTTATTAGCACACTGTCAATGCTGTGACCCTGACCTTGCCCTTTGCAAACCCCCCATTCTTCTTTTGTTCCAGTCATGCTGTGCTCATTTTACTTCATCAAATGGAAGCTTTCTTATACCCCTATAATTCTTCACACCCTATCTGATCACTCCACCCTCAGAAAATTTGTATTCTTTTCTTCTTCTAGACTAAGTTCAAATACCACCCCTGCCACCTACAACTGCCCAGTTGACTGCCCCTTTCAATCTCCCTTAACCCTCCTCGAAAAACTAGAAACCAAATGTTTTCATACCTTTATTCCTGATACCCAGTACAGTGCCTGCTACTTTGTGATGTCTCAGTGTCTGTTGAATGGTTGAGTGAATGAATGGGAATCAGTGAATACATGTTATAAAAGTTTAGAAACATCATTGCCTTTTTCATACTTTGCTGTCTTAATTCCTTTGGGCTGATGAAACAAAATACCATAGACTGGGCTGGCTTATGAGCAACAGAAACTTATTTCTTACTGTTCTGGAGGCTGGGAAACCCAAGATCAAGACACCAACAGATTCCATGTCTGAGAAGACCTGCTTCCTCTCCCTAGGTGGTGTCTTTTCACTGTGTCTTCACATGGTGAAAGAGGCAACCAGCACTCTTGGGTCTTTTTAGCGAGGGCACTAATCCCATTCATAAGGGCTGCACCCTCACAAGCTCTACCCCTCCTAGAGGCCCTCTCAATACCAGCACATGAGGGGGAGGTGAGGTTTTATCACATGGATGGGTGTGGGCTGAGGGGTGGGAGGCCCACAGGCATTTGGTTGATAGTACTTACTACAGAAAAGCAGCCGGTGTAAGAAGAAACCGTGTGTAGCAGCATTCCTGTATTCAAGACAGAGCTGGCGGCAGAAAGGCTGATAAATTGCTTCCTTCACCCTTTAGATCCTCACCAAGGACTCGGTGACAGTCAGCGTGGATGGCGTGGTCTATTACCGGGTCCAGAACGCGACCCTGGCTGTGGCCAACATCACCAATGCAGACTCGGCCACCCGTCTCTTGGCACAAACAACCCTGAGGAACGTCCTGGGCACCAAGAACCTGTCTCAGATCCTCTCTGACAGAGAGGAAATCGCCCACAGCATGCAGGTGAGGAGACGCCAGTGGCAGCACCACCAGAAACTGGAAAATGAAGCAGAGGGGCAGGGTTTGAGAACTTTCTGCTCCTCAAAGTAGGGGAATCACTGGCCTTTCCTTCTCCTGAGAAAGGTTTTCCCAAACTTGATGGAAAGAGATGCTTTTCACACAAATAGTTCCTGAGTTTTAACACTCAGATGCATGCATTATCTTTTTATCCCATCCCTCCTGTGCCCCCCCAGGTATATTTCCCCTAAATTATTATTAACCTTTTTCTATGGCATAATAGTTCATCGGCCATTCTGCAGGATATTGCAGGCCTCGTGAAGCCTGTTCTCTGGGTGAGTCCACACCCTAATCACGCCAACTTTCCACTCTTACTTGAGTAAAAGACTGAATTAAACCTGGCTTGTTCAAAAAAAGATAAAGTACTACACATCTGAGCTCTTACCAGTTGTGTAGACTTCACAGGGTCTACATCTGGGGTCTTACTTGATGCCCACAAACAACATGTGAAATAGTATGCCAGTATGCAGAGGGAAGTAGTTAAAGCCCAGGGAAGTAACCTGCTTGCACTGAGCTCAGGAGCCAGCAGGCCCAGGGTAGAATCAGCCACACCCACACGGCTGTAGCTTGTGAGCTACCACAGCAAAGTTAAATAGTGCAGAGAGACTGAAACAGACACTCTCTGGCCTTTTGAAAAAACTTCGCCAACCCCTGCATTAGTTAACTAGTAACAGAGTCCGGACCATCAGCATCCTTTCCCTGGCGTCCCCCAGTGCCCTCTCCATGCCAGCCCGGGAGTCACTGGGGCCAAACGTGCTGCCTGAGGCCAGCAGCGGGGCTGAGGGTGCTTCGCCTCCTCTCTCCTCCTGCCAGAATACCCTGGATGAGGCCACTGATGACTGGGGAATAAAGGTGGAGCGCGTGGAGATCAAGGACGTGAAGCTGCCCATGCAGCTCCAGAGAGCAATGGCTGCGGAAGCAGAAGCATCCCGCGAGGCCAGAGCCAAGGTAACCTGCTTTTTTTTTTTTTTTTTTGCAGTTTGTTTTCCTTACTGAGCTTCCTTTCTTGGGTACAAAAAAGCAACACTTGTTAAAAATTGAAAAACTCCTGAGGTAGTTGGCAAAAATGAAAGCCTTCCTATTCCTTCAAAGCCTCCCTGCCCGCCTCCACCCAGGCCTCCACCCTTAGCAGCATCGCATCTGCGCTTCCCCACTCTCCTGCGGGTTTACTTGGCTGCATTGTTAGGCCAGTGGCTCACTGGTCATGTCCACCTGTTCTCCGCCTTGCTTTTGCCCTTGCCGGCCTCTCACAGGTAGAGCGTAGAGCGAACAGTCAGCCCACCCGCTTCCTGGAAGGTGACCACCCTCCCCCGGCCCCCTTCAGAGCCGGTCAGCAGTGCTGACTTCCACGCAAACGCGTCTCAGCAGGTGCTCGCCACCTCTCCTTCCTCACGGTTGTCTTCACTTCCTTGTCTCTTTCCTTGACTCTTCCTTTACCGGCTTCCTGCTCCCCCTCCCCTACTGCCTTTTATTCACTTTTCTCCCTCCGTCATTTGCTGTTTCCTCTTTCTTTTCCTCATATGTCCTAGTCCTGCCTGAGAACTGACCCCATTTTGCTCACCTTGCCTGGGAAAGTGGATCTCTTGGATGACCGGTAGCAAGGATTCAGGGGTATCTCGCCAAACCCCAGAGTAGACAGTAGAACCAAGACTCCCCAGAATTGGAACCAGGCATCAGAGTGCTGTCGAGACTCAAGGGTTGTTCTGTCTCCTGGGTCACGTCTCACCGCAGGCAGCTCGTAGGGAGAAGGTCTGACTCCCACATTTATACATCTCCCCATCCCCAAACCAAAGAGAACAGACTGTCCCGACTCCAGATTCGCAGCCGAGTCCCCCCAGTCCAAGGATCACGGGCGCGGCAGTGAGCTCCCTGTCCTGGGAAGGTGTGGGGAGCAGCGGTTTCCATGGGAGGGTGGCTGTGGGCCTGGCAAACACCAGGATACAAGTTGCAGACCAAGTCCTGGTGTAACCAGAAAACAGTAATGACTGCTGGTAAGTGGGGAGCACATGCCCGCCTTCCGGGAGGTCACTTTAGTCTCTAAACCAGCAGGAAGTAGGGTAGTAGATCACTTGACATAGTATATTCAGAATTCTCTACAAACCAGAACTTTAGGGTTCTCCTAATATGATGATTTACGTGAGTCATGATACCAGAGACACCTTGAGCATGTTCCCTCAAAACCATCACACATAGAAGACTAAATTATGTTTACGATAATGAAATCAAGTATGGCCTATGTAATCTGATTATTTTGAAATTAGTAATGACTTTTACCTAGAACAGGTCCTGAACCAAAGCCCCATGTCCAAGCCATGTGGAATAAAAGGACGAGTCCTTCTTAGAGTGCTTAGACTGTCAGAGCCCGAAATGTCCTTAGAGACATCCTCAAGTCTGACAAATACCTGGCCCCCATGCTGCCACCGCTCCTGCTACTCCCCTGCCAGTAATTAACCACACGCTGTTTTCCACTGAGCTTAAACGTGACCTCAGAAGCCTGCTACATGCTCCAGGTAACAGTCTTCAGCTGCTTGGAGTTGAGCTTAAAATACAGCTTACCTGCCATCTCACTGCATTCAGATGGAAAAACTGAAAACCCAGAAGAAAGAAGTGATTTCCTCAAGCTCACACAGTTGTTGGGGGCGGAGGGAATCAGCCTCTTCTGGGCTTTCCAGGGATGCTCTTACAGGCATCCTCACAGGCTCGGGAAGAGAGCCCGACCACCCCGTGAAACAGCAAGCGATAAAGGCTCCTGCTTGGAGGGGGCTGCAGGGCCCTGACGGTTAAGACACAATCACAGAGAGTCTGGTCCTTCTGTCAAATACAGACCCTGCAGCACCCGTAAGACCACGTCACCAAAAGCATATATTTGGATTCTTCTAGAAAATGGTGGAGTCACCATTCTTCAGCAAATAAATTGCAAGGGCAAAGCCTATAGATTAAGAAACTTCAAAGAAAAATTCCTCGAGTGAATTAGCCTTCTGGGAAATGCATATTCAGATCAGGAGCAGGTGCTGCACCAGACAGACTTGAAAGATCCACTAGGAAGACTTGAAAGAAAGGAGAAAATTACCAAGTATGGGACAGGGAAGGATGGGACTTCTATTTTGTGGTAAGAGTATAAATTGGTGCGACCCCTGTGGCCAGCTGCCTGGCAGTTTGTATGTAACAAAAGTGCACTCACTTCCTCACCACAGCAGCACTGGTAATAGCCAAAGCTGGGAACTGCCCATCACTGTTTGAAGGATGAGGAAAGGGTGCTTCAGCCACACGCAGGAGCACTGCACGGCAAACGCTGAGCGATCACAGATGTTTGTGGGGGGAAGGAGCTCGCCCCCAAAGGGCACAGGTTCTCCACCGGGTGTGCCAGCTTGAAGACCAACTCGGTGGCTTGAAAGGTCATCTCTTCTGGGCTTATATTCTCCCCTTTTTTTCCTTTCTCATGACTTTTGAGGAAATGCCTGCTGTGCTCCCAGGCTGCTCTCTCTGGGCCTGGTCATGTGCCAGTTGAGAGGGTGGAGTGTGAAAACACAGATGTCCTCTCTCTGCCCCCCCCTCAGACCATCCGGCCCAGGCTGTGGTACCAAGCTCACGTGCCTGAAAATGCCAGGTTGGGGACTAGGGTCTGGAAATTTGAAGCATTGACTGACATGGACAAATGTTCCACACGCCGCGAGAGCCTCCCTCTAAGATCCTGTTGCTTCCGAGCTTTGCCTGTAATTAGACCAGGCGGGCAGTGTCGTGTTCACGTTGTTGGCAGCTTGCTCAGAGCCGTTTTCCTATGAACAGTGTGTGCCCTGCCCAGTGGGCCTGGCTTCCCAGCCAAGAGATGGGGCTCTGATTGCTGGTGGGAGATGAGATAACTTTGCCGTTGGTCCGTGTCCAAACAAAACAAAGTGCCTAATTGGACATCTGAGATGACATAGAGGAAAACCAGAGTCTGCTGCATGTGTGGCAGGGGACGCTAGTGCCCGCCAGGGGTGCCCGATGCGCCGGAGCTGGTAGCTCCTGCCCCTTCGGCCATCGGTCGGACAGAATGGGCTGCCTTCAGAAGTCCAGGCTTTTCTCCTCTAAGCTGGGCCCCTTCCCAACTCAGAGGGCACCCCATCTCACCTGAGGCAACTGAATCCTGGGAACGCGGGACTCAGCCGCTGGCCCCTTGCCCCGGTAGCTCCGGGCCAAGCTGCTGCATCCCCACTGCCGTGAGTCGCGCCCCTCTCACAGCTCTCGTCTCTCCTCATCTGGCTGATGAAGTTGTCTACTGCATACTTTCCACACTTCCCCACCACCTGTGGGGTGGAGGCCAGGCGCCCACCCAGCCTTCACGGCCCTTGGGACCCCGCCCCTGTCCACCCGTCTTCCCTCTCCCTCACACCTCTCAGCTGCCTAGTTTTCTGGAATACGCCCACTCGTCTATACCCGCCACCTAGTCATGTGAAATATCTTCCTCACCTTTATCCAGAAAACACAGCTTTGCCCTTTTATGTTCGGTCCCTGAAAGTCACCTCCTACCTGTATATGCTGCTCTGTGCGCTGGTACCCGGCCTTGCACCTCAGCCTCGGCCCTGGAACGAGGTCCGTGTCCTAGTTTGTCCCCGCACTGGGCAGGAGCTGGAGGAGGTGAAGCATCCTCTCCCCAGCCCTCACTTCCACACAGACCTTGGCACTTAGAAGGCCCCAACATTTGCTGCTTACGTGAGTGAAATTCCACTGTGCCTAAGGCCACTACTTCCAGTTCTGAGACTCACAGAAGTGCCAAGGCATTAATCTTCGGAGCATCCATGTGAAAGCCAGCTAATGAAGTTGTTCGTTTAATCTTGGTGCCTATGGTGTCTTTACACCTCTCCTAGGATCATGAATTAAAAATAACCCTAGGTCTAACTTTGATTCTTAGCACTTTCACTGAATTTATGTATTTAAAAATTCATATCATGGTCTTTTGTCCAAAAAATAGTTTTAATTATTAGCTTTCAGTCCAGGACACCCTCTTTCCTTTCTTTGAAATCAGAGAGCAGAGATCCCTGACTTGCAGCAGGACTTGTTCCCAGCCTTCAGGGTGGCCCCCCCAGCCTTCAGGGTGGTCCCCTTACTCCACCCCACCCTTACAGGGCTCTGAATGTCCCTTTGTTTGATACCCTGGGAGGTGTGAGAAAAGCTGGCTGACCTCAAGCACATACTCAGGCAAAGGAGCTGTAGGGGAAAAGCTCATGGAAATGGAGTCCTTGGAAATCCTGTCACTACAGTGATCCTAGGGCCTTCCTTGAAAGTTGGGTCGACACTGAGGCGTATGAGCTGTGGTTTGACACCCACCAGTCCATCCTGTTGATGCTCCCTCCCGCTGTCCACAGGTGATTGCAGCCGAGGGAGAGATGAACGCATCCAGGGCTCTGAAGGAAGCCTCCATGGTCATCACGGAGTCTCCTGCGGCCCTTCAGCTCCGGTACCTGCAGACTCTGACCACCATCGCTGCTGAGAAGAACTCAACCATCGTCTTCCCTCTGCCCATAGATATGCTGCAGGGCATCATGGGGGCAAAGAAGTGAGCCCCGAGGCCAGTGCGGAGTGCACTTCCCTCCCAGGGGTGATGTGGGGGACCAAACTAGCCTTCAGACCACAAGGCGAGGGTAGGACCATTCTCCCTCCCTTCCCCGTTCCATATGCTGTGTGTGGTGTTCTTAGAAGTGTAGTGACCATAACCACAGGCAAAAGGCCGTTAGCTTTTGTAAATACTGAGAGAGAAAGTGGTGATATGTAAGATAATGTGACTCTTTAAGACATTTAAAAGTTCTTATTTTTAGATGATTATGCAATAGATTGAAGCCCTCCGCTTTGACTTGCGTTAGTCACTCTGCACCTGCTGCCAGCAGCTGGCCACAGGCAAGGACACAGGCCAGCCCCACCGCCTGGCCCCCCGACAGTGCCTGGCGGACACAGTGACCGTAGGCGACAACCAGCTTCTCTGGCCCACCTGTGCCTTCCTTGCAGGGACTCTCAACAAAAGATATTTCCCTGACATCCGCTTGCTCACCCAAACCATGTTTCAGAATAACCCTCACTTAGGAGGCATCTTCTTGTCAGGGCCTGGTCATGAGTGAGCAGGGTCACCTCATCGCGGGGGAGGTCCTGTTAAAATCATGCTGGGTGTTTTTTTTTTTTTTTAGTTCTTTGAGCCTCTTGGTGACTATATAACTCACCTGTGATCTTTCAAACCAGTGAAAACACTTGTCACCAAGTGCTTTCTTTCCACTTTTGCCTGTTTACATCAGGTTCTAAATAGTTTTGGTTTTTTAAATAAAAAAGTCCCTAAATCCTTGTCCTCCCTAGTGGTGCAGCGGGCTAAAGCACAAGTGAGCTGCAGCCACTTCAGTGTGAGTTCAATCCTCATCCAGGGAGCTGACCCACATGGCGCGGCAGACCTCTCCTGACCCGCCCGCTGCTCCCCTCAGCAATGTACTTCATCAACCTGCCTGTTCTGCTCCCTGCTCTGTCGCTGGTGAATCCTCTTACCGCCCCTGCACTTCTGGCCTGTACCCCAGTTCTGTGTGCATAAATAAATCTTAAGGAAAAAATCTTTTAAAAAATCTCTAAATTCTACAACCTGTCTATAAACCCAGTTGTACAGCTTAAGGGCTAATTTTTTCCTATTTTTTCCTACCCCCAGAAAACCATTATGTTGTCTTGTCTTCAGGCTTTGAATAGTGTAGATTTTGAAATACTTTGAGGAAACACTGCTCATGAATAATGTAAGGAATTACAGCAGATCAGAGATGACAGCCATGAGTTTGAGAAGACACTCAAACTCGGACTGTCATGAAGATGTAGATCAGCTTTTATTTTCTTGGTCACCTCCCCCCACCCCCCAACCTTTATTTTCCTCTAAGTGGTCAACCCTCTGAACCAGTTACTCAGCCTGTAATATCAGGAAGCCTGTCCTGGTCCCCAAATCCCTATGGGGTTGAGCAACCTGGCATTGGTCTGGAAAACTGGCTGGTGACATTTGTCCTACTTCCTCTTTGAGGCTCTGAGTTCACCTGCAGAAATCCAAGAATAGCAGCGTCTTTCCCCCAGAGCCACCCCTCGTCAGCCCAGCCTGTGCAGTTCCTCTTATTTCCAAGTTTATCTGAGAAAACCTTGAACAGGTGTCCAGGCTCCCCAGTGAGTTCTTGGGTGCATATGGAGGGAGCATTTTGACTTAAAACTCAAGTTGCCTTTACATTTTGAATTTGAAAAACATAAATTATTTTTGTGAGGTGGCTTATCTTTAACCACTAAGGATGAGGAGCTCCCTGTCCTGGCGAGGTCTCTTCCTGACCTGTAGAAATGATGGCCAGAGCTTCCCATCTCCAGACACCAGAGTCTTTGCTCTCCTGCCTTGTGGGCTCACAGCCCTATAGATTGGAGTTTCATAGCTTGGGAGGGAGGCAGCATTGCGTGAGCGCCAGGGTGAGAGTGTTGGTGCAAGAGTTTCTCCAAGCAGCCTCCCTATGCGCTCACCATAAAGTGTGCATTTTACTGACTTCCTTTGGGCGAGTGTCTCTTTACTTCTGCATTTAGTGTTGGTGGTTTCAGCTATCAGAAGGCCCACATCGGGTCCTCCCCACCCGGGCTGGCTGCCTTTGCGCCTTCGTGTGCCCATTGTGTCCATCTGCCGTCTCTGTCCAGGAACTCCCAGGTGCACCTGCCCACACATCCTCCCTGGGGAGTTTGTGACCATGCACCCCCAGAGTCCCTGGCTGGTGTCATTCCCCTTCATTTTAATCCATACAGGACAGGAATTCACATCTTGTCACCCAGCTCGTCACCTAGGCAGAGCCTCAACTCAAAGGAGAGAAATAGATTCTATAAAACCAATGGGTGGTACCTGTAGTGACTGACCTTGGAAGAATCACCTGGGATGAATGGCTCTTGCGTGTAAACCAGCCACCAGGCTCGGGGCTCAGACACTGTCACGTTGCCTCAAGGCAGCCCAGTGCTGTGGCTGCTCACACCCACTGTGGGCATGAGGATGCTGAGGCTCAATGGTTAAACTTAACCAGGTCACATGGCTGGCAAAGAGCAGCTGAGATTCAAACCCAGCCCACCTCATGCCAGAGTCCAAGGGGCAACCCTCCTTTTTTCAAAGGAAATGACTCACTCATCAAAGATAAATGTCTTTTCCCAGTATGAATTCTTAAGTTCACATTTATAGTGACCCTAATGTTAACTAATCAGTAAGACTTCTAGAGAACAAAAAAATGGTACTATAAAGGCCACTATAATCTTAATGACAGTCAGGTTCACATTCTGTAACTTTTTCTCCTTTGTCTCAAAATGTTTGATTTCTACTATTTTAAAAATGAATTTGAAGCAAATGTTTGTGAAATCACTGAAGAACCTCCAGGAATTCTGCAAACCCCAGTTGGGAAATCACTCACCCCAGTGCCTGTCCCCAGTTGTGGAACGTGTGCCTCAGAGGCCTCAGAGCTCAGACCTCTCCAGGAGCCTCATCTTCCTCTCCTGTGAAATAAGGAGGCTCAGGTCTCAGACCTTCTGAGAACAAGCTAGAATCTGGAGCACAAGTTTGCACTCACCTTTGGGGGCAGGGGTGCCGAGCTGGCCCTTCTGCACTTAAGAACCATGAGCCTGGATCATCTCTAAGAGTTACTGTATCTTCAAGCTAAACTGTAGCTAAAGGGTGCTTACTTGGCAGGCGTTAGGGAGAAGACAAACTACTGAGGTGACAAGAACCGGAATACACTGGGTGCTGAGCACTGAGAGGCTTTGCACACATGTTGCCCAATGTTAGCCATGGTGCCCAAGACCACAGGATGCTGAGAGTGCTGTTGTGTGGGCCAACCCATGATGCCATCCTGTGTTCCTCAGGGTCGTGGGTAGAGGTCTCTCACATCTGGTCCACTGTGTCTGTGGGCTCAGGTCAGGCTGGGATTTGCTGAAGCTGAATCACACTTGCTTACAGGATGTAGCTCACCTTGTAGCTAGAAGAGTTTGTTGGGAAAGGAAATTGAAGCTACTGATGAAGTGTTAGTACTATAAACACAAAAGCTATGATGCATTATTGGAATCTTCCCTTAAAGATTCTAGGGCCGGGGTGGGGGGTTGGGGGGGAGTCCACAAATGCCCTCCAGAAGTGACTGGATGCCATAAGACTATGAGGAACCGTTACCGTTAATAGTTACCATTTTCTACACCTGACCCCAAAGTCTCCAACAACTGGCTGTTTATCCCCTTCATGCTTTCTGGGAACCAAATTTTTGTTGTCCCCTCCCCCACTTACAGCTGTGCTCATCTCAGAGGAAGAGGATTTCACTCCTGGCTCCTGGGAAGAATCTAATTGACCTCTGGGTCCCATCCACTTAGCCCAGGATGCAGTCAGCAATGTTCACATGACCCAAGAGGCCCCTGAGCCCTAAGACAGGACAAAGCTCCTCCACCCTTTTCTGGAAAACAGCACCAGTTCCTTCTTTTTGCCTGGGCATTGGCCTGCAGGAACGTGAGCCCTGCTATCTGTAACACCAGATATTTCACTATGAGGCCAGAAACGGCAGAGTCAAGAGAATCAAGAGGAGACCTACTCCTGACAAAAGCATGGGGCTCAGTCAGCCAGGAAGACTCCTTCCCTCAGCACTCTTGTTTATTCAGGCACAGGACTGAGCCGTGTGCAGCTTCACTTGGTATGAGTCGCTTTTCATTCCTCACAGCCAGAAACATCCTACCCGTACCTGTAAGGGTCAACTTGGGCACGGGCCGGGCAGGTTCATGGTGGATTCCGGCAAACAGAAAAGGCTCTCAGAGCCTTAGGTAGATTGGAGAGGACTTCAGTGCTGAAGCAGGGGCCCAGACACAGGTGGACCAGCAGGCAGAGAGTCTGGATGTCTGGCAGCCACCGAGCCTCCCAACACCACTGCCTCCTTGCTCTCTGGCTTCGCTTCTCTCTCTCTCCAGTCTTTGCCCGAGGTCCATGTGTATGGTATGCATGCCCCATGCTCGGCCCAGGTGTCCACAGTCACCAGCACCCTGTGCTCGTGCTCCCAAGTGCTTTTTACAGTAACAGTTATCAACATGCAGCCAAGAACCTTGGAGGAAGCCAAGGCCACAGAGGCAGTGGTAGAGGCTAGTGGCAGGAAGGAGGAAAAGCCACGCCATCCACCCCACACCACCCTCAGTGCGGTGGGTTTTCACAAAGAAAGGAGGGGAGAAGGGTACCTGTGGCCCTCCTTGTCGTTTTACTGTTTTGTGAACACTTCCCAGGAGCCACATGGCATCATCTCTCTTAATCCTCATTAAACTCTTAGCAGTAAGCCAGTATGGGGTACAGCAAGAATTTGAGCCCAGGTCCGACTCCAGCACCAGCTACCACCTCCCTAACAGCAGGTCCTCAACAGTGTCCTTCCCTCTATCAGTGTTTGGTTATTATGACCTTGTATAGTCTGACATTGGGGTGAAACAATGGTCCAGGGCCTACTTGAGTGATGCCATTTTGCTTAATGTCACAGTTCCCATGTTAAGTAAAGTCCAGTTGGATCAAACCACCTCCACTCAGGGCCTATTGAGTGCGCTAGTACCACCTGCAGGTGGGGAAACTGAGGCTCACAGAAAGGCTGTGTTGTATCCGCAGGCCTGGCGCAGTGCTGGATCAGCGCATGTGGTGACTGTTGAACTGGACACAGGTCAGCCTCCAACCTCAGCCCACACCTTCCCAAGAGCTGCCCTGGGCATCTGTCACAACAGGGCACAGATCCCACCGTGGTAGGTGATGAAATCCAAAGTTTCTCAATGCTTGTTAGGGCAAGAAATATGTGGTGAAAGTGAGTGCCCTTGAATCACTGAACAACTTGGTAGTCTCAGAAACATCCTTTCTCGGAGCAAGGCAAAGTTCCCTTTGAGGACACAGCTGCCCTTTCATGGTACACAAACCACGTTGAATAAGAGGAAATGAAGAACTCGTGGTGGGGTCTGGCTGGTCTGGGTGGGCCTCCACCTGCTTCTAGGGAACACTCTAGAAGGTAGCAAATGTTGCTTCTTTCAGGGCTTTACAGCTGCTAAGTAGCTGGCTGTGACCCTAAAGCCCCTAAAGACCGAACCCCTAAGCCTGGCCTTCACGGCCCTTCAAGCACCAGCCCACCCACCTCTCAGCTCCAAGGCCGAGGCTCCCCACTCTGCTCCAGCCATGCTGGGCAGTGGTCTGTCCTGGGCTTGACACTGGCCCTCCCAGCTAGTTCCCTGACTTTGCACCTGCTGCACACTCTGTTCAGATGACTTAGCTTCCAAGTTACACCTGGAAAATTCCTCCTTCACCACCCTGTCACTTCTGCGATGAATCAGAATCTCAGGAGGGAGCCCCCTGGGGAGCCTATGCTTTTAAAAAGCTCCCCAGGTGCTGTGCCTTCAGCCAGCTTTGGAAACGAGGTGTAAACACACAGATACACCCTTCCCGCACACGCACCCTCACACTGGTCTCAGGTCTCCTGCTGTATGCAAGGAAGTTCCCCCCCCCCAACTTGGATGTGGCACGAATAAAATCTACTAAGAATAGACCAGAAGGCTAGACAGGGAGGGACCTAAAGTTCCTTGGGCTGGTTGGGAATCTCCATGGAGGCACAAGTTGATGGAAATACCTATGAGGGGCATGAGCGGAGTCAGAGCTCAGAGACTAAAGTGGGGCACAAAGCGAGTCCCACTCCTACACCCCAAAAGATGTAAACTTTGGAATCCTGCAAGGATATGTTTGCAACCGCCCCAGGCCAGGGAGGTTCGCCATCAGGTCAGGCCTCGTGAAAGAGAATCTTGGGGCCCTTGGAGTCATCCCCACAGATTAAGGGAGACAAGACAGCAAGGACGAAGTAACTTAGGCCCCCCTGCGAATCCCTATACCTCTGTGCTCTTAGCTGTTGCCTGACGCTCTCCGCTGCACGTTATCTGTCGCCAAGTGGTGTAAGCGTAGTCTCCCCGGTGCGCATGCGCACACCATACTCCAGGTGCCGCCTCCAGGCGCACCTGTAAGACCACAGGTGTCAATCATTGATGCTAATTGCAGAAGGGTAAAAACACCTAGTAACTTCCAATTACCCATAGTGGCTGCAGCTGCAGTGATTTTGTTCGCAGGTAGACTGAGGGGGAGTGAAATTTCAATATATGGAGGCAACTGTATGACTCTAAAATACTAAGCCGGGCCTGGAGGACAAGGCCACAGGGCCGCCCTGTGCAAGGGGCCAGACTAGGTGGATTCAGCGATGGAGAGGAGAGGAAGGTGACCAGGAGCAGGAGGGGAGGGAGGAGAGAGACCTATGGCGCGTGGGAGGGGGAGAAGGGGAGTACGGACTATTTTAGTGGGCACGTGTTTATGTGGGGGATTTTGGAAAAGGTCTGCTAGGGATAGCTACACAAAATTGCAATACATTTAATTGTACACTTACAAATGGGCAAAATGATTAATGTTATGTTGTGTATCATTTACCACAATGAAACATAACAGCAGTAGAGCTATAGGTTAAGATCATCTTTTGAAAACTCTGCTGAGCACTTCGTGGACAGCGGTCTGCACCCCCAACCAGGCTCCCTTGCTCCCCGGCGGGGTCATCCTGTGTCTGGGGCTCTGCAGCAGTTCAGCACCCCCACCTCCCTCCCCCCCCAGCACCATCTTCACACGTCTCATCTCGGGATCTGCTCCTTGAGGACCAGGACTGGCACGTGGCGGGACTGCGGTTCATTCATGGACGCTAACACACTTCAAAAAGCTTTTATTAAATTCCATTTCCAGAAGCAGAGAAACTTTAGGAGATTTTGCAAGGACCCTGGACTTTTGCAGGGCTGTTATTGGCTATTACAAAACACACTCACACACCCCAGAGTGGCCCTGTTCGCCGCCAGGTCTCCTCGAAGAACGGACAGTCTGGAAGGCACTGACAGAGTACGGTGGGGCCCGGCCTGCTCAGGCCGCCAGCTGAGCCAGGGCCCTGTCCAAGGGGTCCACAGACCAGTAGCTGTCATCCCAGCCGAGGAACCAGCCCACAAAGGAGGGAGGCTCAAAGCCTTGCTTCACGATCGTGATGGGAGTCCGTCTGTCCCGGTTGGCAGGGTCCGTGTCGATATACCGCTTAGCTGCAGACACAGTGCAGGGAGGAAAGCCCAGGAATTCTTAGTGGAGTTTGAATTCCTCCCTCGCAAGGAGAGGAGGCTCCAGCGGGAGTTTGCTTGGATGGTTTCTATCCTACTGTCCCCACAGTGCTGGCACCTTAAAGGCAATGGGACTCCTCCCCCACCCTGCCCAGGACACGGGAAGGGACAGAGGTGAAAGCAGAATGTTCCATTCCACTAAGTTTGTCATTTTTCTCTTGCTATCTCCTACTGAGAGACATTAAAGAATATCCCTGCCCAGTTCAGATCAATTCAGCTTTCAAGGGCCAGCAACCAGACCCTGGCTGTTGTGGAAGCCACAGTGGGAAGTGGGGAGCAGCTCATCATCTGTTCCTTCCTTTCCTAGCATGACCTGAGGTTCTCGGCAGGACCCAGGAGGCGGTGGCCATGGGTGAGGAAGTCGCTGCCCATGGTTGCAAATCCCTAGACCTGGACAGGAAGCTGCACCCACCTCACCACACCTCACAAACCAAACCACAGGGAGCCTGGGGTTCTCACCAGAGGCCAAGGCTTCTGTCTTTTCCTCTTCTTGCGAATCCTTTCCAACCCAGACAAAGACCTGGAGGTGAGAGGTGAAACGCAGAGTTTGAGGCTTGCCTGCCAACTCCCCGCCGGGGAGGAACAGGAGGCGGAGGTCCCAGAATGGCTGGGCAGGCCCAAGACGAGGCAAGCCCACGGCGGGGTGGGAGCAGAAATCACAAAGAGGCCGCCTTTGCCTGCTCCCCCAATTCTAGTAAGCAACAGGCAGGAAGGATGGGCACCAGGGAAGAGCAGAAAGGCAAAGGCGATAGACGGCCCTGAGCCACGGTCTGGAGACAGCGGGCCTAAAGCACTCTGGCCATGGAGATTCCAAAGATGAAGGCACTCGCTGCCGTGGGGGCTGTTACTCCAGCTACCATCTGTTACGGTTTCCTGGCAACTGACCACCCTTCCAGCCGCCTTCCCTGACTGCTCGGCTGACAGTGAGCCTCCCCACCATGCTGGTTGGCAACATCTTCTTAGACAAATTTAGCTACCAACTGATTACTTGGAAACCAGAGGATCTGGCAACCATGGGCTGCTACAGTCACATGGGCGAAGCTGGGCAGCAGCTGTGGCCTTTGGATAGACAGGCTCACTTTGCTCCAGGCGCTCCCACTCCTTCAGGGCTCCCCACCGCCTGCTTCACTTGTTAACAATGCCAACGGGTCACAGCAGTCACCAACGTCCCGCTCTAGAAATTTTACGTAATCCCTTTTCAGGTATGTATTTGTTCAACAAATGAGGGGCCAAACACAGGCTCGTTCATTTATCCAAGAAATATATGCAGTGTCTGAATAAAAATGACTCACCTCCACCACCACCATCCTGAGGATTATAAGTGTTATGACTTATATATAATATAGATTATTTAACATATAATCTATTTGCCTGACTTAATCATTATTTCTTAGGTATGTTGATAAAAATAATCAAATAGTAGCTGGTAACAAAATAGTGCTCTTCCTTATTTACAGATGTACTCAACTGGAAGCACTTGTGGTGCTGATTCTACTCATCATAGAATTCCCTGCACCCCAGCATTCCGCCAGGAAGACCTTGTGACCTAACAGATTAGCCTGGGCGACAATAAACAGGACACGCAGCTCATGGCATGATCAGGGACGAGGGCAGAGGCTGCAGACACCGTGGTGGATCTAGCTGGAGAGCCCAGGGAGCGGCCCTATGACTGGGGGGTCGCAGGCCTGGGAGAAGCCACCTGACCGGAAGGGCCCGCCACAGGAAAACAAGCCTGAGAGGGCAGGGAGACACCTGCTGTGTATTCTGTGTCCAGCATCTAGAACAGCGTCTGCCACAGGGCGGTGCCAGACACTGCTGACATTCATCTGCTGGGCGAATCAATCAGTCAATCACTGGCATTTTCCTCTGCCAGATCCTACACAACAGTCTTCCAGAGGAGGTGAGGTAGAGAACCCAAGGCTCTGACACAGGAGGTACACTTCCAAACCTCTCGGTGATGATGGAGGGTTTATGCTTGGGTATGGCGTGTTGTCAAGTTCAACTTCCTTTCCAAGGCTTAAAATAAGACTTCACACACAGTGAGGCTTGGAAGAGAGGGTTGGTCATCTCACTGCATGGGCAGTGGCCAGCTGAGTTTATCTACAACCTGTGGGATTACCCAGCGTAAATGTCACTGTCAACACCTGGGGCTGCCTCTTGCGTCCAGTCCCAGCAGCTGGGCTGAGAGCAGGAAGTCTAGCTCCTCTCACTGCCCAGGCCGAGGGCCTCCTCCTGCTGTCCTTCACCCACCTGGTCCCAGGTGTCCAGGAGCATGACGTCGTCGGTGGCCAGGTCTTCCTGCATGAGCTCTCCAGGGACCTCTTCGATCTGGGAAGGGAGTTTGAGGTCCATGAAAGCTCCCCACCAAGGGCCTTCCCCCATTTGCCCCGGAGGCAGCCGCAGGGCCAGCTCCAGCCAGCAGGGGCTCCTGCCTCTGTGCTGAGCCCTGGCCCCTGCTCCAGCCCCACAGAAGCTCCTATACCTAGGAACCTGCCCCCCAGAGGTCGTGACCTCCTCAAGGCTCACCACAAAACGTCCAATCTTGTTGGAACAGGCGAAGAGGCGAGGAGGGTGGGCATCCATCTTCTTGTCCTTAAGCCGTGGGGACGTGCGGTAGGCAGCCTTCCCGCCCAGGGCCTCCCAGAAGCCATCTGTGAAGGGGAGTCCACACCAGTCACCAGCTGACACCCACCCCCACCATCCAGCACCTCTCAGACAGGAGGGCAAAGCCTGCCTTGTCCAAGCAGCTGCTCTCAGTGCCAAACCCTCCATCCGCAAGTCCCAAGAGGGAAGAGCCCTGTGGGAAATCATAGGTGATGAAACGGAGGCCCCGCAGAGGGCAGGCTTGGCAGTAACACACAGCCAGGACTCCTACCAGCTTGAGACTGACGACAGCACTGCAGGATGGGGAAATTATCCATTCCCCACTTGACAAATGAGGTGACTGAGACTCAGAGAGGTCAAGCAACTCTCCCAACATCACACAGCTAGCAAGCGGTGGAGCCAGGATGCGAGTCTCACCTGACTTCAGCCCCTAACCTCTCTCCACTATGCCTCTGCCCAAACCTGGCTCTTTGAATATAAATTCATTAAAATTAAGTAAAATTAGGGCCCTCCCTGGTGGCGCAGCGGGTTAAAGCACAACACTAAGAAGCTAAAGCCACTTCAGCATGAGTTTGATCCCCGCCTGCCCCGGAGGTGACCCACTTGGTGCAGCAGACCTCTCCTGACCCGCCCGCTGCTCCCCTCAGCAGTATACTTCATCCTTCTGTCTGTTCTTCTCCCCACTCTGTCTCTGGTGAATCCTCTCACCACCCCTGCACCTCTGGTTCTGTATGCATAAATAAATAAACTTTTTAAAAAATTAAATAAAATTAAAAACTCAGCTCCTTAGGCCCTCCCTGGTGGCACAGGGGGTTAAGCACAGCATTATGAAGCTCTCAGCAGTCACTGCAGAACCAGTTTGATCCCCGCCCTGGAGCTGACCCACAGTGCTTAGCAGACTACTCCTGACCCGCCCGCTGCTCCCCTCAGCAGTGTACTTTGTCGATCTGCCTGTTCTGCTCCCCACTCTGTCTCCGGTGAATCTTCTCACCCCTGCACCCTAGTTCTTATAAATCTTTACTCTTTAAAATCTTGTAAATCTTAAAAAAAACAAAAAAACAAAAACACCTCTGCCCCTCGTTCTCAATAATCTCACCGGTCACATTTCAAGTGTTCATCAGCCACAAGTGACTGATGTAGTGGCCACTAAGCTGGAACTGGTGGCCAAGGACATGTCCATCTTCTCAGAAGGTTCCACTGCTCTAGACCGGGCTATTCATAATGCGCTCCGAGTAAGTAAGAGCAGAGAGGAGAGATGGAGGCAGAGGGAAGACGGGCCTGACCCCTGTTCTGGAGGCAGGGCAGGCCTGCAGCATTACGGCTGCAGGGAGTAATGGCCTAAGCAACTGCTTCCCTGGAGTCCAGCACTATGCCTGCAATCCCCACAGCTCTCCCCGTCTCCTGGGAGCTCGCTCACGTGCACCAGGGTCCTCATTTTTATCCCACCCACCTCCATATAACACACCTTTGGGGCAGACATTGAGGAGTGGCAAGAAAAGGAACCCCCAAACAGAAGGATGGGCAGGAAGGAAGCCTAAGCTCACAGTCCCTGGGGCACAGCAGAACCCACTGGCCCCGCTCCTACCTGGTTCGCTGCCTTCTGCCACCTTCACAGGTTGGGCCCGCAGCACTCTGAGAAGCTCCTGGGCTCCTGTCTTCTCCACCTCGCTGGCTCCTGTTCCCACCCACAGGTAGGCAGCTGAAGGGGTTTTCAGCACAAAGGCATCATTGGAGTTCAGCGCACCAGCCTTGGGCATGATCTGGGAGGGCAGTGCTCAGTTAGCGGGGAACCAGAGCGAAAGCCCTGAGCTCCTCTCACAGCCTACAAGTCCCTGCAGGTGGAGACTTGCAAGACCACATCCCATTACAGGGCACAAACTTCGGACACTGAGTGGCTTAGTGGATGCCCAAGAATCATGAATGCACTGTGGTTAATCAATATGATTCTAGAATTCTGGGTTGCATTAACAGAAGTTGAATGTCCAGAACAAAGGAGGTGATAGTTCCATCCTCCTCTAGGCTACTCAGACCATCTTATAGGGTCATTTCAGGTCTGCATCTTCTATCATGAAAGACAGCGCCCAACGCGCATGCAATCAGGAAGAGTGTACAGGCTGTAAGGAACAGACTACCTGGGAGGCAGTGAACTGCCTGTTGTGCAAGGGGGTGTGCAAGGGGCATTGCGCATCCCTGAAACAAGAAGGCTTAGACCTGCTGCCGCTCCTTAACCTCTCACCCACCCCATCCAGTCCTGGGCCCAGAGGGCTGCCTCCCCAGGCTGGAGGTGTCAGGGAGCCCAACCCCCATTGGGCGTTACCTCAACGGCACGCGTGGCTCCAGAGCTGCTAGATCGGACCTGGAAGAGGCGGGTACTGGCCGGGGCCGTCTGTCCACCCTCACGGGAGGTGCCGCCCTTGTAGATGATCATGGGCTTCCCACCAAACAGGCTCATGAGGTGGGCGGGCTCCTTGCCTTGGACCACACGGCTCTGGCAGAGATGGGGATTGGCAAGGGGGAGGGGGTGTCAGACCTTCTGTGTGGCACCAGGCTCACTGTCTGGTCCAGCCATTGTGGCCCTGACCCACCTCCAAGGAAGCCACCCTGTCGTGACTGTGTGTGGGGAACCCTCAGCCCGTGGGGCTGGACAGGGAAACAGCAGTCACAGGACGCCGGGCACAGGGCTCTTGTCTGAGCTCCCCAGTGCACTGCCTGGCTCTGTCCATTCCCATGAGGCCCTGCTGTGCTGATCCAGAGTCTAGACCAAGAGCCAAGAGAACCCACATTGCTAATATTTCCTTAAATATAGAAGCCTAGGGACTGTTAAGGACCTTTTTCCAGAATGGTGATGTCAGCCCAGGGCAAGAAAGTCAAGGGAGTG